GTCTTCAAAATACTAGGGACGCAGTTTTCAAATTGTTAAGTTGAGCTCCCCTACTTATTTTTGGCCAATTCGAGCACTGTTTTTAACTAAATATATTTTGGCGTATTGTTAAAAAAATTCTGTCTGGTTAGAGCTGAATAAAGTAGTGATAGACATAAAAAGAAACATATCATAGTAGAATCAATATCTTTTCAGCTTTGTATTGAAACGAAAAAAGTTTTTTTGAAAACACTACTATGTTTATGAATTTAAAAATCTGTAACTCCATAATTGATAAAAATATTTCAGTTATCATTTGGTTAAATTGTTTAAACTTAATAAATTCATTTAATGGAAATTTAATACTAAATATCATACAATTTGAGATATTAGATTTTTACTTGGATTATTAATTTTGGCTTCTTTAATAATCTGTCTAAAACCACCTAAACACACAAGGACATCACGTAGGTTAGTTTTTCAACAAAACCCACACATGGTTCTAAGTTTAAATGGATTATCCTAAAAAGTTTTATTTGATGACAGTTATATTATATAAGTGTCGAGTTTTATGTTCTTAAATACAATATAAGATTTCCTTATGAATTTTAAAAAGATTTCATATTTTAGTACTTATGCATTGTCTTATTCACTTTCTTTAGATAATTATTTTATTTAGACTGTAGATTTCCGTTGTTTTTGATCACACTTCTTTTACAAAAAAAAAACATAAACTTGCGTGAGAACTAGACTGCTAAAACTATACAATAAGTTATTAAAAAATATTATGTTATAAATTACTCATGATTATCTACATTCATGTTAAGTAAATTAGTAAAATTAATAATAATTAATAGCTACTTTCCCTAAATTATAATTTGAACATAAAAAAAATATTTTCATAACATTTCTTTAAGAGTTTTAAGCTAAGTGTTCTTAACACAAAAATTAGAGGGACAATGTCTCATTAGAAGTGGTTTGTTGATATTAGTTTATAAGTCCCCAATGTCCTGATATCTTTTTTGTTCATTTGTCTGGTCCTCAAAAATCCTAAATATGGCTATGACTAATATGATGTATATAGTTAATTTAAAAGTTAGTTGATTAAAATAAAAACATTTATAAGATATCATCCCTACCTTTCAATCTGAAAATATCTCCCAAAAGCAAAAAAATTTTCTTGAAATTGGATTCCCCCGATCCCAATTACTTTATATATGCATAGTACTTTTCTTTTGTACACAATCCCCTTACATCGCAAAATTCTATAATCTGTTTTTATGATTATTACATAAGGCAACGATTTTTTTTAGTTTGTGACGGCATTCGAATATTTTATAAAAAAAACTTCTAACGAATAATTAACTTTATACCTATTGTAGTAATTACCAATGTGTTTATTGTTATTTGGTCAAACATTATAAAAAATTTCATGTGATAACAAATAATGATGCATTTTACAGTTTACTCAAGTTTACAGTATCTACTCGTGTTGTTGCACGTTGTTTTATGACTATAGATACACACGAAACGATCGGTTTGTCGATTAGTTGAAATTAAAATTGATCAACAAATCGACAATCTACAATTTGCCATACACGAAACTTCAAAATTGTCGATTTGTTTATCAACTTCTATAGTTCAAAAGGATGACCGAGTTTGGTATAATAGCAGGATTATCACGTTGGCTTATCAATTACTCCACACAAGTGTTTATACATGTATCAACCTGTTTATCAATCGGCCAGTCGATACTTCCAAGGCATCAATTTGTCAATCGTCGACTCGTTGACAAACATTATCACACACCTATCAATTTATCTGTCAATCTTAAGTTTTTCAGCAAATCGACAAACCGATCGTTTCGTGTATGTGGGCCTTATTGAAGCAGCATTTGAATGCAACTGTAGCGCTAGTAATATATGGCCCTATTTTAACATGTTAGTATGGGAAACAATTTAACTAATGTATTATTTATGCACTAAAAAGGATATTTATGGAAAAATTTATCTGAATATTAATTGTTTGTCTATAAATTTTTAAATAGAAGAACTTAATTTGATTTGTCAATAATAAAAGATTCATCAATGATTATACTATTTAATACTCAAATGCCTAACACTGAAATAAGCATACGTTTAACCTCCTAAAATGAAAATTTTATTTAAATTGTCATAATATATAAGGCCTTCTAGTAAATTAACTTAAATTTTCCAACCTTCTAAAAATTTTTATCAAATGTTCATCTATGGATATAAAGAAAATATTATGCATTATAGACATTAATAAAAATGATTAAGTACATAATGTTAATTTAATTTACATAGTATGAATAAGTATATCATCCACAAAGTTTTTGAAATACACGTACAAAAAAGTATTTTCTTTTGTAGTTAATACTAATATTTTTTATAATTTAGTTAATATTGCAGTTAAATTAGTAAAGTTAATAAAATACATTTATATTACTTATTATGGAATAATGAAATAACTATGTTTATTATATTTAGTGATGTAAAAATAGGGTATTTTATTTTTAAGAGGTATAATACATATTTAACACAATTTTTACAGTTTTTTTTTATTAAATCAGTGATTTGATAAACTACAAATATCAAAAAAAAATATTATTTATAAAACAATTATTTTACAAAATATTGTTTTAAAATCTAATGCAAATCGTATAAAACAATAAACACGATTTCAAGTATTAATTCTCAATATTTTATTTATAGAAATATGCGTTAATATTTTTCGTTATTTTACAGAATATTTAATGACTTACGTTAAAATTTGTATTATTCTTTTATAATACCTATATTCTTTTAGAACACCTTGAGGCGTATTTAAAAGGGGTTATAAAGTCGAACACAGAGCAGACTATAATTTATGAAACGGTTATTTATAGACCTTTTTTTTAATTGTCATTTTGTTTTTTTAGCAAAGAATTTTCTATAGCATCCCTTTTAAAGTAAAAATAATTGAGCCTTTTATATTGAAAGAGTTTTTAATGTGTCCCAGAAAACATCTCTATAAATATTAGTACATAGCCTTTCCAATCTTAAAAAAAAAACAAATTAATTAATTTATAAAAAAAATGCTGGACTGGAAGAAAAATTGATTTAACATCCCTTAACATTTATTTTAGTTACGCCTATATCTGTTGTAATTCCATACATTTATGAGCCAGTTTTGTTTTCAATAATTTCATCTACTATGATGATAACCATAAATGAAAATTAAGTAAAATGTATGGAAAACCTATAATCATTATAATAACTACATTATAAAATATAATATGATTTCTATATAAAAACACATGCAAATTTTGTTATTGTAAGCACCCTCCATACCCCCAGATTACACCTAAATAGATAACGTTGCGCACTACATTTAATGTTTAAAATAAACGTCATAAAATTTATTACATTAAGTACTTATGCTAACTTTTTAATTTTAACAGTTGCCACGGGAATATTGATAAAACGATTATATCTTGAAAAAATGACCAAACTTATAGATTATAGGTCACAAATTATGAACATAACTGTGTTATTCATTTAATAATATATAAAGATATTTGTGGTAAAATGTTAACTCGGAAAGAAGCATTGTTTATAAAGCCATTTCAAGAACGATTATACTGCCAACATAAAACTAAAGTGAGTATTTTTTCTTTTTGCAAGTCAATAGTGCATTAAAATGCTAAAACCGTTATGAAATATTAAATGTAATTTCATAAAATAAATGTGATGTTTTACTTGTTTTAAGAAGTAATAGGATGTTATTGCGTTAGATAAATTCATTTACTTTTAAATTTGAAAAAATAAAAAGTTTAAGAATTCTTATAAAAACGTATTTAGGGATATTTCGATAGGACAATAATTTCCTTATAAGTTTTCAGACCCTTTTACTACACTATCTACCTCATTGTATAAAAATAATTATAGGTTTCAATTAAATAATTCCGAAAAGGTATAATGTGTCTCAATAGGCACACTATAAACTGGAAAATAAACTTCTTCAATCTGCATTTTTGAAATATTTTTTTTTAGAGTCATATATGTGTAAACTGGGCATTTGACATCCACCCTACTTTTTACTTTGTTGACATCCTAGGCTATTATCTAAATGTTATATTGCCAAATTGCTAATATAGATATAATAAGATACAAATTTAGCTTATATTTTTATAATGTCTGTTATCCGCAGGAACGAAATTCCTATAATTTCAAATTAGCGATTAAAAAATAGTGTGATAAAAAACATTTTACTCTTGACAATTTTTTATTAAGTTATATCTTTTACTAATCTATTAAGAATTGCATTATGTAAGAAAAGGTTATATACAAAAATATTTTTTACTTTTCGAACTGTTTTAGTTTTAGGACTATACCCCTCTACAAATATTAAGACGAAATGTTTTCAAAATTTTAGAGTAGTATCTTAACCGAGTACAATTATTGCAATGTTGTATTGAAATCCTGAAAGTTAAGATAGATATGAGAATCATTATCCACTCAGTGTACCAAGCATACGAGAACGTGAACTTAAAAAAATAGATCATAATATAATAGTACATTCCATATTATTTAGTTAAAAATACAAACTAGTTGCATTTTTAGTTAAATTACAGCTGTCAATAATCAGTATCAGCTATNTTGCATTTTTAGTTAAATTACAGCTGTCAATAATCAGTATCAGCTATCCGACAATCGCTGCTGGCCTTAATAATCAAAGCCTATAATCTTAAGGCTAATAAGCTACTCCACATCGCCTGATGTAAAGGAATAAAACCTTAATAATATGCGTTCGAAAAATTATTTTGAAATCTCTCTATAACAAATTCTTAAATATTATTGTGGGGGCTAAATATGAATCAGTCTGACGCTGACAACGACACTTTTATACATGTATAGTACGTGTTAAAGGCATCTATAGCAAAAATGTCAATTAGTAGTAACTTTAGATTGATTCTAGCTCAAGTCAGCAACAGCTCGAGTGGACACCAAATCACCTCAAGAATGGAATCACGTAGTGAAAAAACAAAAAAAGCTTCAAAAAGAAAAAGAGCGATGTACTCAGATTTACATAAACAACAGTATATTGTGGCAACATTTGAACAATATCATGAGCACTCGTCGTGTCGACAATCACTGGAAATATCAACAACCAAAGCATGTTAATTTTCCATAATAATTATAATTAGTGGCGAAACTTTAAATGTTTTTTTGATGAAAGAATGGTTGGGTTTTAATTTTAAAACGAAAAAATATTTTACTATCTTGTGCAAAATCATAGAACACTCGAGTGTTTAGATAGCCCTGATCGTAATTAGTTGTGTTAGTTATGTTTTTTGTAAAAACAAAACTTAATACAGCTTTCAGTACTATCAAAATATTTTATAAAAATATCTTGTATATATAATTAGGGGATGTGGGAGATCGTGTCAAGTGGAAGTTTAAGATAAGGGTGGCCGATCCCAAGTAGTTGGGATTAAAGCGAGGAAGAAGATCTTGTATAAATAATATTACAAATGTATAATTTTTTAGATTTTTTCATCGCGTAAAGTTATTCAACAAACAAAACAACAAATTAACAATAGAGATTGATGATCAGGCAGAAAATAACAAATCATTAAACCATCTAACACCATTAGAAATTAAGAAAGAAAATTGCAGTGCTTGTAATCCCCGACTAATAATAAACAAAGTAAATAGGAGTACAATAATAATAATCACGAATTATTATAATATTTTTATTAGACCAATTTGCCAGAAGAACGAATTCCATGGGAACCTGCAAAGAAAAAACTTTCAAAAAAACTTCAAAGCCTATCATTTCAAAAAGATGTGAGATAATTATGAATTATTTCTTCTTTATATTAATGATTTATCATTTTACAGAATTTTGAAAATGAAAAACGTCATTTAGTAAAACAAAAGACAAAGGGAATAGTAATAAACGAAAAAAAAAAAATTATTACAGAGAATAATATAAAAGTCAAGAACAAATTAACTATAGAGACCAGTAATTATGTCAATTGCATAGAAATAAAAGAAGGTTGTTTGGATTTAGTAATTAAGTATCCACCAAAAAGTAAGGTGACAATGAAAGATGGAATCAGGAGTCATATATTACAAGCTAATAATTGAATTTTTTTCAATTATTACAATAATTTCCACATTTGATGTGAGTTAATAGAAAAAAATAATTCAATGCAAATTTTTTTTAGTTTTTTGGTTTAGAACAAAAATTAAGTTTATACATAAAACTGATAACAATATTTAATTGTAAAAACATTTTCTGTAAATCATATAGTTAACATGAAAATATGTAATAATATAAATATCATTAAAAAGCATGACTCAATAGGGGGTAATTGAGCTCTAGTTACCAGTTTAACTATGAAAAAAAAAAAAACTTACTTACAATTGATACCATTATATAAAGATAACTCTCTCTACTGCTATGAAAATTAGAACACATTCTAAATAAGAGAAGTAAAAATTAATTATATAAATTATTACAATAGACAAGTCTTTGTTTTATATCACATTGTATATTTAACTATTTTTTTGTAAATAGTTTATAAACACAAAATAATAAAATTCATTATTTGAAACTTAACATGTACAAGTTGTAACAATTTATGAAAGTGTATTTGACAGCATTTTTATTTCTCAAACTAATAAAAATTGTTGAATTAATCTTAATTTATTTCTGTTTGACAGACAAAATAAATACAATAATTGAAACATTTTTAGTGTACAAACGACAAGTGAAAACAATTTTTTTTTTTTTATTGAAGCTTAAGAACTGAAAATATCACAAAATATTTTGCAAATTTATTATATTTAAAATATACAATAGTAAAAAATAAATTTATAAGTTTAATAACTTTTTTTAAAATAAATTGACAATTTCCTGGAAAAATATGAAGATGTTACATGTATGATATTTTACTTAAATAATAATAAATGGTTAATTAAATAGTTCTTATTGGTAATGTTTTCAATATGATAATAAAAATAAATTAAAGTAGTTATAAGAAATAGAAATTTTTGATAAAATGAGGTTTGATGGACACTACTAGTATTAAATCACATTTATCAAACATTATCAAATGACTGGAAACAAAATTAAAATAAGCTCAATTCACCCCATGTTATTTTGTAGATAGTAGATTTCCGTATATTCAATGTATCTAATATTAAATTAAATGTTTCATAGTCTAAATCAATTTTTATGTATAGTAATTATTATGTATGAATTGGTTGAAAATTGGATTATGAGCAAAAAGAAATTTGTTTGCATTTTTTTATAGTCAAAGTTACAATGTTAAATAAAAAGACTAATTAGTCTTGCCAACATGATAAACAAAAGAAAAAAATTATTTCAATTAAAACTTAAATTGAGTATTTGTATTAGGAGCAGGATTAAATTCAAAGCATGATGGTGGCTGTGTAGGTGTAAGAGTTTCCTGAAAAAAAAAAAAAAAAACCAAATGTGTTAGTAAAAGTATTAGTTAGTAATGTGTGAAAATTAAATCATACTTCTGAAAAATATCTTTCAATAATATCAAATGCAACTTTATAGATTTCCACACTTTCATGGTTTTGGAGCTGTTCAATTTTATCAAGTCCTGTAAATGTTTTAGATACAAATAATTCTTTAAAAAGTAACAATAAAAATAATATTTAATTTAAATGATGATGATTTTTTCAAAATTACCTTCACATTCTTCAATAAGATTAGCCAACACATCAACTTCAGGTCCAGCAATTTTCAACATATTTTGTAAACCATCCAATACAACTTGAATGACTTGACTGTCCTGGCATGAAAGCAAAGCACATAATGGAGCAACAACTCCTGCTTGTATTACTGTATCTACTTGTTGACAGTTACCACTGATGGTCAAATTTGTTATAGCCCAAGCAGCTTCTTTTTGTGTTTGAAATTCACTCTACAATTATAAATATAATTAAAAAATATTGTAGTTTAAAAATATTAAACAAAAATTAATTGTTTACTTTCGAAAGATGCATAATTATTTTTGGTATAAGTCCAGCATCTATCACAGCTTGAACTTGAGCTTGATTACCAGCGGTAACATTGGATAGGAACCAAACCGCTTCCTGTATTATAAAAATGTCATACATATATAATTCACTTAACACTTTTAGAATAAAATTATATTTATCATTCCCTTTAAGACACATCCAAAGATATTGATAATTATTATTTATATCTGTCTGCGCATATTAAGAAGATAAGAAAACTCATATAGTTTAGTGATAATTGATTATCTGATCCGAATCAATATTTTATTTATCAAATATTTGTGTTATTCACACAAAGCTATGCATTTTCAGCCAATATATAAAGATTGCCTACTATACAGTTTAATAGACATACTAACTATAATTAACCATGATAAGAGATTTAAATTACCTTGCATATTTTTTCTTTTGAATGTGATAGCAAATCCGGAAAATGGCTTAATGCACCAGCATCAAGAACTACTTGTGTTTGTTCATCAGTTCCAGTCACAATATTTCCTATTGCTCTTAATGCAGCAGTTTGCACCTATTAAATTAAAAGTTAAAAATATAATTTAACAAATTATAAAATATTTATAATTTTATTATTTGTAAATTTTTCAAATTTGTTTTTTCACCTTAACTTCTTTATGTGAAAGTAAAGGTATTAAGTTGGGAACAATTCCACTGTCAATTACTTTTTGAATTTGATCATTTCCGCCATCAGTTAAATAGCTAATAGCCCACACAGTATCAACTAAAATCTACAGATTTCATATAATTATAGTTACAGTAAATAAATAATAATAGTAATAATAACTAATTACATTGATATCTTTGTTGTTAATTAAATAGTTAAGAGCAGGAAGAAGTTCATCTATCACATGTTGAGCAGGAGGAGGGTCTTTATTTCGGCATAAGTTAACAATAACCCAAGTTACATTACGCATAAATGATATAGGTATGGTAGGATTGATAAAGTGAAGTAGCCTAGGTACAACATTTAAACTTATGACGTAGTCACGTAGTTGAGGTCCATCACCAATAATATTTCCTGTAAATAGTTAATTATAAGTTATTCTTTTAAAAATCAATTATAAAATTCTCAAATGATATTATATTATTTAAAATATTTTATACAATATTTTATTTATCAGAAAAATTTATATTGCTATATCAAAATATATAGCATTGTGAAAAGATGTACCTAGATAAAATTTTGTTAGACAATAAATTTCTGCTCTATATTCATTAGGTATAATAATAATTTATTTATTAAATTAATAGGACAAAATGAAAATTTTTAAAAGGCGTTACAATATAATATTTTTTTTTACATATTTGCTAATGAGAAATTGTTATTTCTGCTTTGAGTTTTAATTAGAATAAGTCATATGGGGCTTTTAGTATATTTATTTATCTTTAAATTATCCATTTCTATCATAACCTGAAAAAGTGAGAATGATACTACTTGTATGATTAACAAAATTATATGATAAAAATATAAAATTAATAAATATTATTTTTAAATCAGGCATTAATCAATATTGATAATAAAAAAAAATTTACATTTAACATATAGTCCAAAAATTGTTTTATAATAATGTTGTTGATATTTTTATACTAAATATGATTATAAAGGGAAATGGTCTGATTAAAAAAAAAAAAAGTATGTTCCATTAGGGTGTCCCTTATTTATAAAATTTAAAAATTACAAAGTGCCACCCCCTAGAATTATTCGAATACATGAAAAAATAAATTGTAAAAAATTTAGAGTTGGTCAACTCTAAGACGTGCCACAAGGGGGTTAAAAATAACCCCCCAAGGATGATTTTTTAGTTTTTTTGTGTATCTCAAAAATTTTAGCTTTTGCGAAAAAATCTATTTGGACTTTTTTGTAGGTATACAATTTTTCTATAAAAAGTATATATACAAAAATTTTCGAAAAGTTCTTATTTAGCTCTAAAAAATTAAAAACATATATGTTCTATTCTTACCGTTAAAATTGTTAATTTATAAATCGTTCATTGTAAAAACATAAAAAAAATTCATTTAACCGTTGTTTTATATTTAATTTTCTATACATTTTTAATTCGACATTTTTTCTATTATTTACTATTCAAAACTTACAAATTTTTAAATTAAAAAAAAAAAAAAAAGCATCAGAGTAAAATTAATATCGTCTCAGCTTCATATTGAAGCTAAAATAATGTTAACTTACAAATTTATATACAACCAGAAACTAAGTTTTTTTGTTTTTAAAAGTGTTTTTGAAGTAAAATTTAATACGTCATCTGAACCAGATGTTCTTATTTTCAATAAATTCCAAAAGTCTTGGCAAAATATAAATAAAACAAATTACTTAAGTGAAATAGAAAATACTGTTATTTTAGAAAAATTAGAGTTGGTCTTAGAGTTGACCAATCGTCTCCAAATTTTTTACAATTTATTTTTTCATGTATTCGAATAATTCTAGGGGGTGGCACTTACAAATATTAAAAAAAAAAACCTCTCATGTAGCTAAGGGTCACCCTAATGTTCCATAAAAGAATATAAATAGTTCTTATCTTAAAAAAAATTATAATTATCCATACATTTTTCGAAAAGTTATAAAAATATAAAGTTAAAAATATAAAATCGAGAATTTTAACACAAAAATAGCACATGGTAACCATTTTCAATGTGAAGACAAAAAACCGAAATTTTTTTTTTATATTAAAGTATATTACATTAGCTTTAATTTAAGGTATATATAAAAGTGTCAGTATTTCCGGAACACTTTCAAAAGTTAATTTTTTGTAAAAAAGTTGTTATTTTAAATCCCCCCCATGGACAGGTAAGCGTTAGATTTATAAAAGTATATACCAAATGATATGTAAAAACATTATGCATCTATAAAAAAATTAATTTTATTGATTTGGTCATTTTTAAAAAAGTTATGTTTCAAGTAAAAAAAAAAAATTGAAAAAATGTCTAAGATTAGCGATTTCTAAATTTGTAATTTTTTTTGGATATTTCCTTTATTTACAGGGAACGAGGGAAATTTTTTTCAATTTTTGAGCGTAATATTTTTGATTTGATACAATTTTTGATTTTTTGACATACTGTTGAAAGAAATCAGTTCAGTGAGAGCTGAGAAAAAGTGGTAACAGGCCAAAAAAAACATATAATAGTAAAATTAATACTTTCTTCGCTTCACATCAAAGCTAAAAATTATGATAGATAAAGCAATATTGGAAGGGTGTTAAAAAACATAATTAATGGAGTATATTGCTTGAAATATTATTAAATAATTTTTAAAAATGAATTATATACTGGTTAATGTTGGTTACAATATGTCTGTCAGAAAAATTAAACCTAATATTTATAAAAAAAATTGGATATTTATAATGTTTGTTTTACATAATATACAAAAAATACTTGTAAAAAGGTAAGTGTAGTGAAATATTAACTTAAATGGAAGAAAAGGTTGCCAAAATAGGTCAAAACTTATGATGCTCTATGAAAGTGATAACAAAATAGAAAACCTGGAAGTAGTTGGAAGACAATAGATAATGATTTTTAATTATAAAAGACAAAGAGTTTTCATGTTGAAGAATTAAAAACTCATTTTACATACTCAAGGTTTAAAAAAATAAAAATAAAATATTCACAAATATGTAACTAAATATGCAGCAAACAATAACATTTCTAAAATTGTAATTAGAAATAAGAACACTTTTTTGTAACGGCAATATTGTTATAGATTCTGAATCTTAGAATTTTCTAGTGAACAAAATAATCAAAAAATTTGGTCATTTTAGTATAATTGAACAAAATTATCTAGTATTATAAAAATTATACCACAAAGACTGAATCCTGCATTAAAGATTACATTTAAAAAGAAAGAAAAAATAATTTTTAATCTGCTTAATTAATTTTACTTTCAGTATATTAATAGAATTATACAAAAATTTAGACCAATTGATTCAGTTTAACCAATTCAAATAGAATTTTATGGTTTGTAAATTTAAATTAAAAAAAAAAAAACTGAAATATTTAGTATAATTTTATTTAAGACTAGTTAAAATAGCGAAGACAATATTTTTGCACTAGCTCTTGGATAAATTTGAAGTAAAATTTTGTATTAAGTATGATATCTATGAACAGTGCGGAAGAGAACTTTCAAATCAGTAAACTTAAATAATTACAGAGATATAAAGAAAAAATATCACATCCATTAAAAATTACATTAAAGGGTAGTTACATATAGAATATAGAATTCTTGTCACTTATAGAAGACACAAGAATTTTTTTCTTCTTCTTTTAGTTATATAGTAGACAGAAAAACCATTAATTAATTTTTGTATTGAATAGTATAAATAGCCAACCCTAAGTAGTTGGAATTAAAGCGAGGAAGAAGAAGAATAATATAAATGTTTCCTTGTTAAACTTCAAAATCAATCATTTTTATCAAAAATTGAATCATTTTTGTTTTTAATGGCCGTTTAATCTTATAAAACAAGACTTTGAATAGTTTTTATTTTTATTTTAAAATGCATTATATTAAATTTTATTTAATGTAAGTTTAAAGAAATCAGATTTTTGAAACATAACAAAGAGTTGAAAAGAAAAACATTTGATATTATTTTTAAGCTTTCACAATACCTTAGTTAATGATTGGATTAAAAAAGTATGTCTTTAGCAAGAAAAAAGGCTGAATTATAAGTAATAAAGTACCAATAATCAATAAAACTAAATAACATTCAAAGTATAATTAGAAAGTAATCAATATTTTTAAAAGAATCTGTGATTTTCTCAAATAATGAACTGATAACAATATTCATATGTATTAAGTCTTTTAGTAAACTTTGAAAAATATGCCAATTTTGTTTCAAAAGCTTATGATATAATTAAATTTTTTTTTTTTGAGAAGTTGCAACCATTTTAATCACAAATATTTAAGTTTTTTATTTTTTTTTATGAGACTGATTAAAATTGGGCTCAAAGTTTAACTAGGTAATATTCATACATCGTTTAATAATTTATGAGCATAAATAAGATGGAGTTGTGAAAGAGAATATACATTTATAAAAGCTACATATAAATTTAACTTACCTAATGCCCAAACAGCTTGTTCACAAACTGTTTGATTTGGTGAATTAAGTAAATTAAGAAATAATGGAACAGCTCCAGCTGAAACAACAGCTTGTGTTTGAGGAGAAGTACCACTGGCAATATTTGTTAAAGCCCATGCAGCTTCAAATTGTAATGATGGACTAAAAAAAAATATTTAATATTTTATCAATTAAGTCTATATTAATAATAAAATAAAATAAATAAGACAATACAATCAGCTGTATAGTAAATGTAAAGTTAATATTAATGCATATTAAAATATTTTATAATAATATAATATACAAAAAGTTGTAATAATATGATTTAAGATTTAAGACAACACATTAAATAGCGTTGAAAATATATTCATGTTTATTTTATTCATAATATTTATATTTTAAGTTACTTGAAACAAGTAATTAAGATTTAGAAATCAACAAAAATGGCTACTTTATTATTTTAATACATATGTGATTAATATGTACTATTGTATACCTTAGCTATTAGAATAAAAATAAAGAAAGAAAAAATTATGTTTTTTATTTATTAATTTTGTTACAAATGAGCTATTGCTGAAACTTTTATTTTATAATGATTGAAAGTCATTTTGACATTAAAACATTAATTGTATTGTTCATACTTAATTCACTCGCTATTAATATACTTTCTTATTATTATTAATTTTCCATATTTCAAAAAAGATATTAAGTAAAAAATTGATCTTGCTAATAAGGTAGCTTAAATTTTATTCAGTAACTTACTTATCATGTTCTTCTAAACACCGAACCAAAATTGGAAGTATTTCACTATTAATAAGCTCATCTATTGGTGGATTTCTATCAGAAGAAAGTAATTTTCTTGCAGATTGAATAGCTTTTAGTTGGACATCAGGGATTTTGCTTCCTGCACCTTCAACTAATAAGCGTAAATCATGTTCTGTTAATGGCTTTTCCAAATCCAACTCGTCTGTAACTAAAACATAATTAAAAGATAAATTGAGATAAAATAATATATAGAAGTTAGAATTATTACCATTAATTGGATCAACTGCATCTGAAACATTTCTCCTTTTCATGAGCTCTTGTTCTTGTTTATCTTTTCTTAGACTAACAGTTACTTCACTTCTCATCCTTCGTCTTTCCTAAAAAATAATTATTTTAATGGATTATTGTAGGAGTAATATAATTACTAATAACTGCTATTTTTTAGAGTTCAAAAAATGTTATATATTCAATATAAACAAGTACATAAGCGGTTTTGCAATGCAATACAATATAAATTGGAATTACCACAAAAAGATCTATATTTTGAAAATAAGTTTAAACATAAAAATTGAAATAACATATAGTAAATGTAAAATGATGTTGATTATTGTACTGATTCAATATTTTTTTCCTTAATTTTGGTGTTTTTGGATTAATATGAAAAATAAGTTATTATAAGGTGCTTTATTTAATTATTCGATTATACAATAATAGAACTTGTATTATAATAAAATCTATTTTTATGGATAACTTTAATAACAAGTTAATCCTTTATATTAAATTTTATTTTTAATGCTGCAACTTTTATTAAATATATTATAAATATTTATACATACTATACATTTTATAAAAACTAGTATTATCAGGTTGAATCTAGTTTTAATTATTTTTGAATACTTTATAATAAATAACTGCATACCATATATTAATAAAATAGGATTAAATTACTCCTAATTATTTCCAAGAGAACATTATCCCCAATGTTCTCTTGAAAATAATTAGTAATATAAATACCCTTAAAAATTATTGAAATTTTAATGAAAACAAGTTCTATCAACTTACCAACTCAGTTTTGCCTCTATGTTTGAAGCTTTGTAACCGGTGTCCTATTACTTTTTCGTCAGACATATTTAGTTTATTTTTTAGTCAATGCTTAACTTAGCTTAATACACTGGGATAGCAAAAAAATCGTGTAATAAGAAGTACAATGGCACAAATCAAAATCAGATGAACTAATTTGTTAAAAATGATTTATATCACAAAAAATAAATAGGTATGCGTAATTGTGCTAAAAGTGCGCACGAAATATCGCAAAACGGTTTTTGCAATGACAGATCACGACGTGCTAACACCAATAAAAATGATAATAGTCTTCAACGGACAATTAACAATGGTAAACAATATCGACAAGAAATAATTCGCAGCATATTTCATAGACAAAAAATACAAATAAGTTAGAAGCTGAAAATACGTGGTAGTTTTTACTCGATTTAGTACGCATCTAAAAAAAAAAAATCAAAGAACAATATTTTGGCTGTCAGCCCCTTGCTCTAGAACGGTTACGGTTTCCGGGTGTCTACACGACTGCATGCATCGGCAACGACGGAGGTAATATTTTACAAAATTACTTAACAGATGACTGTTTACGTGGAGGTAACAAAAATATAAAGTATTAATTAATAATTAATAAATAAACCAGTTTATGGTAATTTTAGTAAACATAAATAATACTGAAGTAAATTATTTTAGCTAAATTAAAAGTATATTCATGTCTATCAAAATATTAAATTTCTGATCACCTCCATGTAATCAAATGATTTTTCTCCGCCATTGCCATGTGGTAGATAGGTAGTGAAACAAATTTATGAAGGAGTTGATAACATTTGATAATTCCAACATCTTTTATAAATTTGATTGAAATTACAATATATTCTTAAATTTTTCAATTCTCTATTAATATGTAGATTAATAGTATATACAAAATGTATAGTTATAATTTTTTTTAAACCTATATGTTTTCCTTCCTAGTGACTTATTTTATATAAGCAAAAATAGAAATAAATCTATTGTCATTTTTCCCGCTTTTTTTTGTTATCCCCGCCTTTTTTCTTATTTTGAGAAAGCCCCCAATAACAGTAATGACACTTTTTGTGTATTATTTTAGAAATGCGCCTTCTTGACCAATTCATATAACATCCTAAAATAAAAAGTAATGAATAGTTTATTTCCAAAACTGATTTTTTGGAAGTAACATTTGCATTAAATTTTATGGTTTTTGACATAAGTTGTTTTAGACTTATCGAAAAAATTAATATTTGAAAAAAAAAATTGTATATTAAAATTTATTTTTTGAATAAATAAAGCCTAAATTTTATTTTTACTAATATGAATATACTACTTATATTTTTAACTTGCTAATTATTAATCTGTTCCGTAATTGATTTATTATACTTGTAAGAGTATATTCTAAATATCAGTTCAAGTAAACAAAAACATGATCACCTGACATAATGCACAGCATACTTAATTTAACAGTTAAGTAATGGTAGGGACGGACTGGAAGGCCAACAGTACAAGAGACATAATAATTGTGGCGGCACAGCTTGATTCAAAAAATATTTGAGTCGCTCTAAGGAAAGTAATGATAAGCAAAGAAAGGAAATAGAGGTTAGAATCTCCTTTTCAAAAATTTTTAATAGTATAAAAATAATAAAAGTATTGCTGTTAGAATTGATGTAATCACCACCCTTGTAAAAATATATACTTTTATTATATAATAAAAGTATATAATTCATATGAATTAATATATTTGAAAAAATATATTTTTTAGTATAATATTAAAATTTTAATTTAACAAAACAATAGTTTATTTAATATACAATAATTATTAAATATATTATAGAATACATTTTTTTAAATTTACATAAAAAATAAATTTATTTTTAAAATACCATCATTATAAAAGAATATTTTTTTTACTCTACTATTATTAATGTAAATTATTTTGTTGTTAATTTATTTTTTTTATCGTGATTGGAGGCTTAGCCTCCTTAAGCTTAAAATTAGCCCTTGATGTTATGGTTTCTAAACTAAACTAAATTGATAAATTTTATAAATAGCTACATAATATTTCATTAAGGTCATTTTATATTGTGTTTAAAATTTATTTGTGATACCTACCTTTTAGTAATAAAATAAAATGTATATAGACATTTTTTAACTAAAAATTCATTTTAAATAACATGTTACAAACCTAATTTCAAAAATGCAACAAAATAGATGAGTTTTACTTAAAACGTTATATGCATAACTTAGAACTGTGGTAGTGTTTAGTCGAAAAGTTGTTAGATTTTTATAATTTAACATCATCATTCAATTAATTACGTTGGTTCAAATATTTCTTACCTCGGATTATAAGAGGTCTTCTACACTTGTTAATTTGTGTCAAAAATCAACATCAATTTATATTCAAATTATAATATTCGAAAATTTGATAATATTTGAGGATTGACTAAAATAACATTTAATTATATTACATGAAGGGATATTTATAGAAAAAATTAACACTTAAACTGTTGATTATTTGTTTTTCAAGAGGTTTCAATATTTAGACACTATTGATTTATTTCATACATGTCAATTTAATTAATGTGAAACTTTTTTCTTTTGTTTTTATGTACAAATTTGATAAACAATAGCAGATTTTTAAGTTTGAAAAAAAAATAAATTTATTGAAATTTAATGTAGTTCTAGTATTTAAAATATTAACAGAAAAATAATGAAATTGTATTTATAGAATACCATTTCATTATAAAAAAAAAAGTCATGTATATTTATTTATTTTATCCAATTTCTAGTTAATACTCTTCTGATGTGTCTGTTTTTCAATATAATAGTAGAAGAGTAGTCAGCGAATTTTTAATAAGGTTATTATCTTAATCAATATCTTAATTATTTAAACAATAAATGCTTGTTTCGAAGTTATAGCTACTATTTGTATAAATTATTTGGAGATCTAATTTATATTTTCTATTAAAAGGATATATCTTTTGAAAAAAATACTAAAATGTAATATTAATTTTATTTTTAATTATATGATCGTACATAACCAGGTTCATGATCTCAAGAATATGATTGATATAGATTACTACACTTTTTTTCTTTATCAATGATCATGTGATAACAGTTATTTTCTTATCAGATAGTTGATATTTACATTTCAATTTATGTGAATACATAAGTTTGATTTAAAAAAGTATTTTACCTTGTATTTACAAATATTATATTTTAGTTAACTCCAAAAGTGCTATCAAGTTTGAGGTAGATAAGTGTGAACTAAATATAGTATTAGATTTAATTTTTATATAAGTGTTGTTTTAATTTTATTAAATTGCTGTCATATATATTCTTGTAAAGGAGGCGTATATTAAAAAAAAGTAGTGTGGTTTTAAGAATATTTAAAATTTATTTAAATTATAATTTTACATATACTCGAAAATTCAATCAAATAATACGATATTTCTGGTTTTTTTTAGTTATATATATATAAAATTTTCAGTTATTAATTACTTTTTAGCATGATCCTATATAATTTAAGTTTTTATTCTTTGATCCAACTTTATTTTTTTAATAACAGCAATTATATCTAACTAGCTTATAAATAATTAAGAATTAATTAAACTAGTTAAGAAAATAATAGATTGATAAGAACTTTTGGATCAGTATTTTAGAAGTTATTAACGTATTTAAGTAAGAACTGAAATCAAGGTGCTTCATTAGATACTTTTAGCTGTGCTTTTCCCACACATGTATAAAAAAATTAATAATTTTTAGAATTGATTTAAAAGTTGATATCAATCTGTTATTTTCCTAATTAAATCATTTCCTATTTTATAAGCCTATTATGTATAATTATATATATTGACTCTGTATTATAAAAATGATTAATCATAATAATAATTATTATTGCTAGATTTAATTTCTATTGATTTTTAAAATTATTTCATAAGAGAGTATTAGAAATATCTTCAGATCATACCTATTTGATTTTCCAGGAAATACAACTCTGAAGTTAATATGAGTAAGTATTCGAGTGATTCAAACTCCCGTGATCGAAATAGGAGTTATAGTCGTTATAATAAACGGAGACACAGGTGAGCATCGCCATTTATTTTTCGCAATGTTCAAATCAATTATTAAGTATGAAATGTATAGTTGGGTTTGGGTTGTTTAAATTTTAAAGATTAATTTCAAATTTATTAATTCATAACATATTTTAAGAATATTGAAATTTAGGTTAATATAATACTAGTAATTTGTGTTTATGAATCCATTTCTGTCAATTTGCATAACTAGAGACAATTTTGATCATGAAATCCTTATAATTTTTGAACTTTATAATGATAGAGGTTATATTTTTGATCTAAGTTGTTCATTAGGTTTAATAATTAATTTATTTTATTAAAAATAAGAGTAAAGATTTTAAATATGAAACATAGTAGTGGTTGTCATATGATAGGGGTTTATGGAGATAGATCACTTCTTATGAACATAAGTTTATTGAAATTTTTGAATAATCGTCATGAAAACACAAACATTTTTAGAATTTAAATATATAATATATCAATTTAAAATTTATTGAGCATAACTAATATGATAAAAGTTTATCCTAAAATATTTGAAATTACATTTCAAGTCTTAGTCTAATACAGTGATAAATTCAACAGGTAGTTTAATCTAAATGAAAATTATAGATTAATGAGATATTAGAATTATAAATTTTCAGTAATCAGTATTAGCCTGAAACAAGTTGTGATATAAATTAAAAAAAATCTCTTATGAGATTAAAAACCTCCATGGAGGTTGTTTATTGAACATTATACAAAACATGATTTTTATACCCTCTCTTGTCAAAATCAATTTACTGCCTCTGAAACTTGGGTATCAATTTTTTAAACATCAAATATGCTTGTTAATTAAATTTTTTTTGTACAAATTTAATATTGAATCATGTAATGGTTTTATATTAGCAAAAAATATTGGTTAATTGACTATCGAAAAAAATATTATTTTAGCACACCCTAAATAATGTACAGAAATGAAAAATTAAAAAGATTTATTAGAATTTAAGAAACTGAGAAATTACTAATTGGGTATCATTTGTTGTCTAAATTGACAAATATGCTGTATTCTGTTATTAAATATGAAATTGAAACAAAAATTTGTATAATAATTATTTTATATCTATGAACAAGCATATTTTGGCTTTTTAGGTTACCAGTATACTATGGTAGGATTCTAACATACTAATAAGTGATGATGAAAAGTAAAATCTCATCAATGTTTACCGGGCTAAAGAAAAGGTGCATGAAAGTTATTTTTCAGAACTAAAAAAATAACTAATAATATTTGGGTGGCTTAAATATTAATAATCATATGAAAGTTGAAAATATTTGGTGATCTCTTTTTATTGTGCGTATTTATTATTAGTAAAATAAAGTTACCTATCAAAAAAAAAAACCCAACACAGCACAGTGGGGACATGGCATAGTTGGGACATGTATAGATAGTATCTTACAATGATTAAAATCACTATTATAAAAAACGCTTTGATACAAATCTGTAGATATTGTTTAATTTCAAAAAACTGGTGGATCATTCCAAAAGCAACATGATTTAATGTTACCTTATGTATATCCTGATTACAAGTTTTATGATTTATAAATGTAAAATATGAATAAATATTTATTATAGCAATTAGATATAGTATGAAATTGATATTTAATAATTCAGTATTGTAATTATTTACACAAATCGTATTTTTTTATTAACTATGATGTCTATTTTGTTTGTAAAAACAAAATAAAGTCCGAAAATTTTTTTTTTTAATATTAAAGTATATTACATAAGCTTTAATTTAAGATATAAATAAAAGTGACAGTATTTTCATAACACTTTTAAAAGTTTAGTTGAAAAAGTTGTCAATTTGAATCTTCCCTTGTGGGCAGGTAAAGGGTCAAATTTATAAATAAAATATACAAAATGATAGGTAAATATCTCACGTATCTATAAAAATAAAATTATATTGATTTGATCATTTTTACAAAAGTTATGGCAGTTTTAAGTAAAAAAAAATTGAAAAAATGTCTATAATTAGCGATTTTTAAAATTGTAATTTTTTTGGAGATTTCCTCCATTTATGTGGAACGAGGTAAATTTTTTCAATTTTTAAGAATAATGTCTTCGACTAGATACGATTTGTAATCTTTTGACATACTGTTGAAAGAAATCAGTTCAGTGAGATCTGAGAAAAAGTGGTAACAGACAAAAAAAAAAAAACACATCATAGTAAAAATAATACCTTCTCACTTTGCATCAAAGCTAAAATCATTTATATTTTAGAAATCAATAAAAAATTTCTTCATAAAATAATTCTAAAATTTATAATTTAATACTTATGTTAATGATCTTCAGACTTCAATACAACTTTTGGTTTGCATACAATAGTTTCTGTAGCAATAATATGTAGATCAAGTTTAAAACTAGATGTAACAATAACTTTATTTTAAAATAATTACAAAATAAAAAATAATTTTTGACTTGATGCATTATTAAGTAATTATTTAATGTAAATTGTTAATAAATATGTTATTGCCAAGGTTTAATTTTCTTTCAATTTTTTAAATACAGTATCATTTTTTATAAAAATGGCTTATTCAAAAATTGAGGGACTTATGCTCACCAGTGTCATTATTTTAATCATCTTGTATATTAATTTTCTCTATACACTATAATGATAATGATTTAAATATAATCATTGAAAAAATAAAAAATAAGATTTATGTCTCTAAAAAGAGTGTCATTTTTACATTATAAATATTTTATCTAACTATAATTGAGTATTAATTATAGCCGAATAATTAAATAATAAATTCTCAGTTAAAATTTATTCATTGTTCAGGCATCAAATTTTTCAAAGTATTAAATTTTTATTATTAAGTTTGTAAAACTTATATGTTTTTTATTTAATTTTGTGATGGAACTTAAAATTCTTTAATTTTCTCTATTAGTTAGACTGGATTACTATAAGTAATATTTAAATTAATAATACAAATACTGCAAATAAAAATATGGGTTCCTCGTATAAACTTAGGAGACAAGTCTCATCTTTAATTATACATAGTTTCTTAGGACTTTCGATACTATGTCTCCAAATTTCAAGTTTGAATGACACATAATAACAATTTATATTGATAATATGATGATAAAATCTTTGTTTGTTTAATAGAAGCCGGTCATCAAGTTCCTTATCCTCTAAAGATGATTCAAGATCATCAAGAAAGCATTATTCTAATAATCGTAGTTCTAAAAAGTAAGAACTTAAGTTTTATACCATTGTTAATTATACTAAATCATTCAATTTTACCTACCTGTAACAATAATAGTATAAATAAATAACAAATAATATCCAAAACAGAAAAAGTTAAATGAATTTCCTAGTAAACTACTTTTTAAGATCCTTAAATTAAATAAAAATAAATTTTACTAATTTATTTATTTTATAAATAGTCTACTGTAAAATTTTAGGTCTAAAAAGAAATCCAAATCAAGGTACCGATCTGATAGTTCATCTGACTATTCTTCTTCAAGACATAAGCATTCAAGCTATTCTCGCAAAAGGGATGATAAACGTTCAAATAAGCACCGTAGAAGTATATCTAGTAGTAGTAGTAGTTGTAGTAGTAGTTCACATTCTTCTGAAAAGTATAGTTATATAAAAAATTCAAACCCTAATGAAAAAAGTAAAAAATCATGTGGCATAAATTCAAACACCTGCGAGGAAGTGGATATTAAATCACAATCAGTTAATAAACTACAACAAGATGTCGATTGGTTACAAAATAATATTTGTAAGTGAATAATTAAAGACTTATTAAAGTTCTAATTTTATTTTACATTGAGCTAAGACACAGAAAATATTTAATACCACATTAAATTAATGGTAATTTTCTATAAAGCCCTTTTTTTTATTTTCATTAGGATGAATTTTTTTTTTTTTAAATAAAACCTAAAATAGTGTAAAATTAATATAAGAAAAACGGTAGCACGGTGGGGTCGAGGCACAGTGTAGACAAGGCATAGATGGGACAAGTATAGATGATATTTGACAGTGATTAAAATCACTATCATAAGAAACGCTTCAATGCAAATCTGTAGATAGTGTTTCATTTAGAGAAATTGGTGGATTATTCCAAAAGCAACATCAACTCTTATTTCTTTGATTATATCTTAGTTAGTAGATCTTTGATTTTAAAATATAATATATGAATAAATAATAATTATAATTATTAAATTTAGTATGAAATTAAAAAAGTAAAAAAAATTTAATAAGTTTAATTTCTTATGTCTTATGACCTTTATTCTATGTCAATTAAATTATATAATATTCATGAAAGTCAATATATTCTCCTAATAAGATATTTTAAAATAAAATAAAATACAAAACCTAGAATTTTAATAGAAAAATAGCATATTTTTGAATACGGTAGCCATTTGCGCATAGAAGATAGGTCGTCGGGATAAATTTTTTTTTTTAATTTTATAGTACATGACATAAGCTTTAATTTTATATGTGTTTAAAGGACGCAGTATTTTCGGAACATTTTCAAAAATTAAGTTGAAAAAGTTAGTTTTTGTACAAAAAGTTGCTATTTTAAATCCCCCTTGTGAGCAGAATAAGTGTTAGATTTTCAAAAAAAAATGATATCAAACGAAAAGAAATTATTTAAGGTTTCAGTATAAAAAAAAATTATGTTGATTTGTTGATTTTTGAAAAAGTTATTGAAGTTTTAAGTACAAAAAACATCCTTATAGAAGGTGATTTTTATCGCAAATATTACATTTTTTTAAAATTTCGACAGCAATTTGCACATAGTAGAGTTTGAACGCCCCCATATAAGGGGAGATTATTTAATTTTAATAAAAAGTATGTCAAATGAAAGATGTACTTATAATATATTTAGAAAAAAAGAAATTGTGCTGATACATACATTTTTCAAAAAGTTATAGCATTTTTAAGTTGAAAATTAAAAATCGAAAATTTTAACGCGAAAATAGCGTTTTTTTAACTACGGCAGCCGTTTACATGCAGAAGATAAAGTGTCGGGACAAATTTTTTTTTTTAATTTTATAGCACATAAAATAAGCTTTAATTTGATATATGTTTAAAGGACGTAGTATTTCCGTAACATTTTCAAAAATTAAGTTGAAAAAGTTAGTTTTTGTAAAAAAAGTTGCTATTTTAAACCCTCTCAATGAGCAGGTTAAGTGTTAGATTTTCAAAAAAATGATATCAAATGAAAGGGAAATATCTAAGGTATTAGTATAAAAAAAAATTATGTTGATTTGTTTATTTTTGAAAAAGTTATGGAAGTTTTAAGAAAAAAAAGTGAAAAAAATGATAAAATTTAGCGATTTTTAAATTTGTAATTTTTTTGGATATTTCCCCCATTTGCGGGGAACGAGGGAATTTTTTTCAATTTTTAAGGGTAATGTCTTCAACTAGATACGGTTTGTGATCTTTTGACGTATTTTTGAAAGAAATCAGTCCAGTGAGAGCTGAGAAAAAGTGGCAACAGACATAAAAAAAAAAAAAAAAACACATCATAGTAAAATTAATACCTTCTGAGCTTCGCATTGAAGCTAAAAGTGTTTCTTATATCTTTTTAAATATAGTTACAAAATAGTTGACTTAGAATATTTTGAAAATTAAATATGAAATATTTATTTTGTTAATACTTAAAATGTAGAATGTTTTAAAAATTATTATTTTATACTTGTCAAACTAGTTTATTTACCAAATATTTGCTATACATATGATGTCTATTTCTAATATAAATCTGTTATTATAACATTCTCAAGATATATTTATTTAATTTGATCTGCTGTTATTTCAAATTTTTTGATAATTATACAGATTTCAATCATTCATCTGTTTTATTTTCATCCAATAAATGTTTAAATGAATTCTAATACAAATTAAGAGTAACTCTAATTTTTATAACTTAATTGTATTGTAGAAATTTTAATTATGGATTAAGTTAGATCAAGAGTGCTATTAATAATACACAATTATAATCAATTTTTGTGTATCAATAGTCATTAATAATCAAAACTATATTTTTTAATTATAATGAAATTAAAAATTGTTATATATTGTTATTTAAATAAGTCAACATATCATAATTTGGCTATTCAAACATTATAAAATTTTTACTATTTTATTATGCTATTGATAACCTAAAAATGTTTCATAGATGATGTCGTAAAAAGAGAAAACTCAATTGAGCAAATAAACCAAGAAGGTTTTGTATTCAAAGTGTTCAAACCACATTCTGAACAAAAAAAAGATGAAGAAAACATGCAAGATATTCCAAAAATACCAGAAGAAATAATAAATAATTTACCTATTGAAAAATCTACTTTTTTAATTTCAAATCGGGATAGACTTTTGCATTCTAAAGTAAAAAATTAAAAAAAAAAATTAATAATAATTTATTTATAATATATTATTTTATTTCTAGTATAAATTGCTTACTAAACAAGAAAGGAGTAATAATTGGGCAAAATATTTGTTTTCAAATTTCAAACATGTAGAACACAATGGAAGTTATCTAAATAAACAGCAGTAAATAATTGTTCAAATATAATACTAACAATTGTGTACAGCTTTGTATTTTATATTATAATAAGTAATTTTTTGTTTTTTTACTAGAATATAAAAATGATATTTAACTGTATTGGTATTTATGTATAATTGTTGAATTAGAAAAAATACATCTCTCTTCACATATACTTTAGCATTTAATCGTTAATATTAATAGAAAAAATGTACAATACATTTATTGAATTAATTACAATGGCACAACAAGGGAGGGTTTGAGAGTTAACCTCTAGAATGTTTAAATTTTTTTTGTTTTTGCTTATTAAAATTTTTTTTAATTAGTGATGAAGATAAAGAAATTTTGTTGAGCAAAATAAAAAAGTTAGTACCCCCTAAAATAATTTTCTAGTTGCACAACTGACTCATTATATTATATTTCCTTGTCCACACTAGCGTGTGATGCAACATAATAAATTCTTAGTTTATTAAAAAAGAAATGAAAGTATATTTTTATCTTTTTTCAGGTTATACGTTTTTTTTTTTACTATCTTTTACGTATTTTAAATGTTTAATGTGATTTAGTGATCTAAATGGTTTTTATTTAACACTTTTATAGATAGTAGGAGTACCCGACTACACCCATCACAATATGCGTTCAGCAAAAAAAATATTACTTTAGAAACAGTCCCACATATAAACTAAATAATAATTTAAAAAATAATATGACTACAAAATACTTAGGTGTATTCAAAATTATACTTCATAATAATCTACAAATTATTATTCAGTACAATAGGAAAATTAATGAAAACATAATTATTAAATCTAATCTTTAAATGTCGTGTTATGAGTGAAGAATACAGTAACTAACAAAAAATTTAAATAAAATTGATACTCTCAAATCAAAATCATGTATTACTAAAAACTATTTGCGCCAATAAAAAAAAAAAGGTTATAAACCTTTTGCAATAAACAAGGAAATTTTTTTTGAAGCTATTCAAAAATTAAAAAAACAATTCTAAAAAGTACAATAATTTTTCATGATTATGACCAAGAGGCCCAATTGCTATTAATAAAAAGGAATTAATTTTTTTACCTCTCCTAAAATAATTATAGTGGTTGTCATCATTATTTATTAGTTACTGGTGATCAAATTAAAAAAATTGTTTTGTTAAAATGTTTAATTTTTAGTATCATAAAAATAATTAAAAATTTTTTTTAACTAAGAAGTGTCCGTAGTTAAGAAATATTAAGGGAACTGATTTTTTGTTAAAATATAATATCTCATTTTCGAAAATAAATCATAAAAAAATTTTGAATCATATTTTAATAGAAATGTTTTATTATGGCGATTAAATTCGTCACAAATACTGTCACAGTTTTGTTTTATTAAATTTTTGGCTCCTATGTTGATTATTATTATTATGATTGATATGTCGTCGTACTTACTTTATTCTTAATTATCTAGAATATTTAAGAGATTTTAAAAATATATATTTATTTAAAATAATAAACAAATATACATTATTTATTATACAAATTAGAGAACAGCTTTAGCTTACCTTTAACAATTTGAATTATATCTGCTAGTTTGCAATATCATTTTGCATTCTCAATACAGATAAGGTTTTATTTATACAGATAGCTGTTTAATTATAGCGGTATTATTATCGTTGATAGTATAATCTATAGTTATGATAATTGTAAGCTAAACTTAAGTAATCATTTAGAAATTGCATGGTATATCTTATAATATTTACTAAATTTTACTTTGTTAATATAGATTTTTAATTTTTGTTCTCATATTCTGATATCTAATTGTTATTTTATTTTAAATATACAATGGTGCTTGTATTTAATCAAATAATACTTATGATCTTTTTTTAATGTGCCTGTTTTTTTTTTCAAACTATAACTTTTTATGTGTCTATTTAAAAAACTTTTAATGTATAAATTTTCAAGTAAAATTTAACAACAATTTTTGTTAAAGTGTAAATTGTAAGTAAACAATTTGAAAGTTATCATCTAATTTTGTTAAAAAAAATTGGATAATTTAAATTATAGATGTTTTTATAATGTGATTCAATGTTATATCTAATTGAGGCAAAGTTAATACTTATTTAAAATGGTTAAAAGTTAATCATATATCAATAAGTTAATTATAAGCTTTATAAAAATAATCAAGTAAGAATTAAATCTAGATGATCAGGATATGGATTAATATACTTTTAATAAATTATTTCAATTCACCCAAAATTTAAAGTTATAAAACTCTAAGATAAAACTATTAGTCTGTTGTTAACTTATACAATATGTTTTATATTTAGAAAATTAATTATTAAAATTTAATTTATTTGTTGTTAAATTTAAACTGAAAAAAATGATTAAAAATATATTAGAATTAAAATTAAATAAATTTTTAATAATTGATTTTCTAAATATAAAACATATTGTATAAGTTAACAACAGACTAATAGTTTTATCTTAGAGTTTTATCACTTTAAGTTTTGGGTGAATTGAAATAATTTATTAAAAGTATATTAATCCATATCCTGATTATCTAGATTTAATTTTTACTTGATTATTTTTATAAAGCTTATAATTTACCTCATTTACTATTATTGTTTTAAAAATTTTGGTTACAAATGTTCTTTTATAATATCTTCTTTAGTAGAATAGTTTTAATAATTGTAATTTATAATCAAAGTATCTATTACTTTTAATTAATTTTGAATATAACCTCATGAAACATTAATTAAACATATATTATTTTGAATACATGAAAGTTTCATGTATTTATACAATTATATTAGTTTCTAATAAATCTTAAGAGAATAGTATTTAATTATGGTAAGGGTTGGAGGACTTAGTCCCTTTATGTAGTCCATCTTTTTAAGATTTATGTTCTATTGATTGTTATTTTCAATATTTTTTTTAGAAAAGTTATTTTTTCTTTTTGTCAAGGACTGAAATCTTATAATTTATTTGTAGTTCCTATGTATATCTCAGTTATAAATAATGATTTCGGTTAAGTTTTTAGAACTGGTTTAAAAAGATTACCACTTTCTGTTTCAAATACAAAATCGTAAATAAAAAATAGGTCTTAAAACAGTCTTAAATATTTTGTATTATTCATGAAATGATTATTTAGGGTGGTTGTAACCGAGTGTTTAGTTATAGATTATTTATGGTTGGAGTTTTCGCTATATTCTGCTTTTCTGCAGTACAATTTTAAAAGTGGGACAAAGTTGGTAATGTATCAGTGTCTGATATATGCTGTTTTGGATTCACAATTACTTCTGTTTATTCAGACAGATCAATTAGGTAATAGGAGTCACCATTTCTCTCGCTAGCAACAAACTAACCATTTGTCTCATAGTAGAAAAGATTGAGAAACCTTTTCTTTGAAGGGGAATTGTAATGGCCTCTAATGGGTTGTAAAAGTATAAAAAATGATAAATAAAGTGAATAATAAAATACAAATGTCATCTGTGTATTTTTCAATTAGTAGGATAGATAGTTAAATTTGTATACTTATATTAGGTTTTAATTATATTTTCCTATAGGTACAGAATAGTTACATGACAAGTAAAGTTAGTAAAGTGGCCAAGAAGATTCATGGGTGGGAAAACATCTAAACCATCAAGGGGATCCTCAAATCAACTAGGAGGTAAAAAATATCAAAATGAAGAGCAAATAAATAATGACACCAATCAACATCAACAATATCAAAAAGATTTCATTAGTAAATCATCACTTTATCCTTTTGTCCATCATAGAAGAGGGTAAGTGATTTTAAGTGTTTTGATCCTTTGAATAACTTTTCCAGTATTTTATTTTTTTTAATTATTCTCTTCCTCTAGTTCAATGTACATAGATGAAGATGGTGACGTAGCTCATGAGTTTTATGAAGAGGCTAAAGAAGGTTCAAAATTAACATTAAAAAAAATTGGTAGACATGAATTGATACCTCAGGTGAATTTGTTAACATAAAATTTAAATTATTATAAATTTTCATTGTCTACAAATATATTGAAGTGTTTGATTAATTGATTGTTGATAAAAGGTTAATAATATTATATATAATATATATAATTATGAGTTATAAAATTTTTTTTTAACATATTGTCGCTTATACTGCAACAGTATTTCAACATTTGACTTAATAAGAATGTATTAAAATAATAATTATTAATGATAAAATAAGTGTTTACAAAAATGATTTCTGTATACATTTATGTGAGACTCATTGATTTATTAAGTTTGAAAATAAAATCACTTCATGAATGAAAAGATGTATAATTAAAATTTATCTTTTGATAATCCTGTAAGTCTGCATTAATATGAACTGTTGCAGTATAAATAATATTGACTTTAAATTATCAACTTTGAATATCCTCCAAAATAGAATATAATAGATTATAACTATTACATTAACTGATTGAAAGTATAAATTTATATATACAGGTGGAGCAGATCTAACTAACAACTTATAATCTACATAACATTTAAAAAATTTTTTTTTTTTAATCAATTTTTACAATATAGGACTATATTTATAATATGTTTTATGTTATTTTTCACTAAATTTTAAAAATTAATTAATATCTGATTAAAATTAGTCATTTTAGAGATAATTTTTAAAGAAAAATTTTAATACTAAAAACTTTTATATTAATTTAGTAGTTACATTTATACATCATTTTGTTAAATATTGAAATTTTTTTAATTTTAGTTTCGATGCGAAGTTGAGAAAGTATTGTTTTTACTATGATGTGGTTTTTTTTTTGTCTGTTATCACTTTTTCTCAGCTTTCACCGAACCGATTTATTTCAACGATACGTTAAAAGATCACATATCGTATCTAGTCAAAGACATTACCCTCTCAAATTTAAAAAATTGCTCTCGTTCCCTGTAAATAGGAAAAATCTCCAAAATAATTATAAATTTAAAAATCCTACTATGCCACGTCACCATTGTGCCGCGACCCCCCCTGTGCTGGGTTTTTTAACTTGGCTAACCATTGAACACTTACAAAATGTTAGAAACATTTTCTAATAAAGATTTGAGATAANGAACACTTACAAAATGTTAGAAACATTTTCTAATAAAAATTTGAGATAATTATTTTTGTAAAAAGCGCGCTCAAATGTTACTATTTTTATGAATAAGAAATTGAGTACTATTACAAGTAAATTAGGTAAACAGATAATGTTTACTTTTGTCCTTAACATACGTGGACTAATGTTTGATACCATAGCAAAATCGTAAAAAAAAATTTTAATTGTAAAAAACTTCAAAATGTTATATAAACGTTACTGCTAAATTTAAATAAGAGTTTTTGGTATCAAAATTTATACAGACTGTTCAGTATATAAAGAAAAAGGTAAATTGTTATAAATTATGAGAATAATAGAAACCCGTTTCATTAATTATTGAAAACCATATATAAAACGGCTATAATCAAATCTTAAAAAAAAATTAAATTAAATAATTGTACACATATGATGTGTAAGTATAAAATAACTTAAAAATAGTCATAATCTGTATCTCACCAACAATACTGATAATAATATGGACTAAATTTGATCATTTTCTATTTATAAGCTAGTTAAATATGTATAATGCCATTAAAATAAAAGTTGACACCTTTACAATATATAAGGATTTAACATTATAAAAATGTCCCCAGTATTAACTTTATGGAAACATTATAACACTACATAATTATGAAATTGCTACCAAGATAATTTTGTCGGGAATTCAAAAATATCTTTGCCCGTCACAACTAACAAATATGTAATTATGAGAAAAATATACGTAAGCTCATAAATTTGCAAAAATCTTAGTTTTATTTTTTTAGTAGTTTATTGTGAGTTTGAAAAAGAAAATATAGATCTATGTGTTTTTTAATCATTAAGCCAATGATGTATTTGAATTTTGTATATAGCAATTATTTCATAATGTAATTTTTTTTTTATTATACATCCAAACTACCTGAAAACTTATTGAAATTTGAAAAATATTTTTATCATATTCTATAAAATTAGTTTAATAACTAGGTAACCAAATGATATTCATCAAATCTAATTATATCACTATAACAAGCATAAAAAAATACATAAAACTTTTATTGTTTTTTAACCTATAAAAAACTGCACTTAAAAATGTCTATAAAATTAAATTTAAATTTATACAAATTTTTGAGCTTTACATATATTTGTTCTTGTAGTTGAGTTTTTGGTAGTTATTTTCTATTTAAAAATAAATAAATAAATTTCTGAATTTTTTATGAAATTATTTTTGTAGCAATTTTTTAGTTATAAGATTACCATAAAAATAGTTACAATGGAGGCTAGTTTATTTTTCTAAAAAATGATTATTAAATTTAAAATTTGATAAAAACAGTTAAATTTGACGGATAAGACCCAAAAGATAAGAGCTAAAATAGTACTTAAAACTGAAACAGCCAAAAAAATTTTTTGATATTACTTTTATTTTGAAAATAACTGAGTGGATTGGGATGTATGAATTGTCTGTTATATAAAAACATCAGAATATATTACTTAGTTGTATTTTCTATTTCATAAAAAGTAACAAATAAGAAAATATGACTTAACTAATGTTATTATGTAATTTTTATATTACAGGCGATTTATCTATTACAATCTACTTAATTACTTACAAAATTAAAGAAATATCTTTATTTAGAACATATTTTATACAATAAGTATGTAACTATCATAGTGAAGTTAGAATAAAATAAAAGAAATTTTGTACTCTGTCAAAAATTTGGTGATAAATCTTAATAAGTAGTACTATTTTGTCAGTGAAATTTATTTTAAGTAACTTTTTTTATATAAATTCATTAAGTATTATTAGTCAAAAAATAATAATTTTTGCATGGTTTATTAATTTTAACAATGTAATTTAATGCACATATCATGGATTTTTTATGAAATCATATAATTTAAAATTTTTTAGATACATATAAATTCGTAATTTAATTATGAATAATGAAAATATTAGTATCAATAAACTATTTTAAAATGTATAAAAACAGTTTTTTACATTTATTTTACTAAATTTACAGTGGTAAATAAAATTTCTATTTTTAAACTTCCAAATTGGAAATTTTTAACTTACAACTCTAATGCAGAGTGATTGGCCAACTATGTCTCATGTAATATCTTTAAAAATACAAGTGTTATAAACAAATTTTTTTTTTAATAATTATGGATCTTGATGAGATGTTTCACAAGAAAAATTAAATTTCTATCATCATCCCATAGACTTAAAACTTATATCAATTTCATATTTTCCAATGGCAACCCCATATTATTTTTATATATTTTTGTTCGTCATAAAAAAAATATATTTAGCAAAAAAAAAAAAATTAAAAATCATGAATTTTCAATAAGATATGTTACTTTAAAATTTACGATATTTGATGAAAAAATTCAGTAGTTTTTCCGACATAGTCACATTATTATTTTATGTAGCGATAAAAGATACCGGTTTACTATGTCAACTCACATAGTCAGAATAGCGCTTATTGATTTACGACCTATAACGTTCGAGTTTGTTATAATTTTTTTTCAATAAACCCTAAACTTTAGAGAGCCGTATAGCGCTTAATATTAAATAAAATAAAATATTTTTTTTATTGAACTAAATCTCATGGTGTAAAAAAAAATAGGGTTGCCATTTGAAAATATTGATACAAGTTTCAAGCATAAGGGATGGTGTTAGAAATTTAAATTTTCTTATGAAAAACCTCATCAAAGATCCATAATTATTAAAAACAAAAAAATGTATATAACACTTGTATTTTTTAAGATTTTATGTAAGACATAGTTAGCCAATCACTCTGTATATTCATATTATATTAAATTATTTAAAAATATATTTTGTTTTAGGGTGATGTCCCTTTGGATGTACCATGTATAAAATATGATTATCCTGTTGTATTGTTGGAGCAACCTATTTGTAAAAAAAAACAAGAAAATTAATGTAAATTGGCAAATTTCATTGGTTGTATTGTATTGCTTGATTATACATCTATCAGTATGGATTTAAATTTAGGAAGAATTATTATAATATGATTCTACAATCCTTTTATGTGTGCAATATTTTGTATTTGCTGTGATATGTATGGAAGTGTACTATATTACCAAGTTGCTACTAATTTTCATATAGATGTTTGTAGTTAGTGAAAAAAAACCAGCAAAGTTTATTGAGTAAAATAGCTTATTACTATAGCTCATTGTTTGTTTGGAGGAATTTAAACTAAAAACATGTAAACCAAAGATGATTGCCATCTACTTAACCCTATGTGTATAAATTATATTTATTGCAATGATACATAGTGTGTCCGTGAGTGTATACATTAATATTTAAATACAAAAGTAGTCAATAAATATGTAATTAAATATTTACTCTATTTGTTAACCTAGTTTTTAAAAAAAATTTTTTTTGTTACATAATTTAATACTTTTAATAGTAGTGTATGATTATTTGAAATATTTACTATATATATTATAATACTAAGTTTTATTATTTTACCAATTAATACTAGTTCATGGTTGTCATAAGTTTAGAATTCCTGTAAAACATGGGGGAGAGAATTGAAGAAATGGTTAGTAAAATTATAAAAATGTTAGGGAATTTGATCATTTTTTAGAGTTATTAAAAATTGATCAAACCATACATGTAATCTGTTATCTGAGTTAATTTTCAACATATTTAGGGGCTTAGATCTCTCTAGTTCCTCTAGTTTCATATATGCAAATAACAATATAAACAAAGGGGCTGTTAACATCATATGCCCTGCATAAAATATGTAGTTTTACACACCTAAGCTATGTATGCCATTTACTTATTAACTGACTGGAAAATTATGGAAAAATCAGATAATTTGAGTTTTAAATTTGTGGCAACTATAGAATCTAACAGTTAAATCACAGTTATCTAACAATTTTTTTGATTGGAGACATTTATCTTAGTTGTTAAAATTATAAGTTAAATTTTCATATTGTTCATTATTTTGTATTATTTTTTATATAATTATTATAAAAATATTATACAATGGATTCTATTGTATGAGGTGATTCGTTTAACGCTAGCCACTCAAATTCACTTAAAACAATTTTTTTTTGGCTTTTGTTATTGCATATGTATCTCCCATTTATCTGTTATAAAATGTTATTTATATTCATTCCTTATAACTTTAAGGGTGTCAAATTAAAATTTTTTAAAATGGAAACATACATATTTAACTAGCTTATAAAATAAAAAACGATATAATTTCATAATGTCTGGCCAATAAGAACTTTTGACAACTTTTCAGAAGTTATTAACATTTTTATATCTAGGTGAGAGGAGAGTGAGGCTGATAAATGTCTAGAATTAAGAATAACAGAAACCTCATCTCCAGTAAATACTTGTAATTGTTAATATAATTTTAAGATAAATTTAGTGACTGGCATTAAAAGAATCGTTCTGTATAATACATGAAAAAGTATAATAATTAAGTTATTATTTTTTTCCACAAATATTATGTCAATTTGTTTTTCTTAACTTAATAAAATGATTTATTAAATATATCAAACATAATTATTATGTATAATTATTTGTTTAATAATTCCAATTTATATTGTGTTTTAAGTTGAACTTAGAATATATTACTTGAAATTATAAACAATTAAATTCTATTATTCATAGAATTTTGGGTAAAATATTCTCTTTACCATGTTTAATTTAACTAAGAAAACCAGCAAATATTAAAAAAAAAAAAAAATTGTCTTGATCTAATAACAATTATTAAGGAAAGTCTCTGTTTTGAAATAACAGATTAAAAATTTCTACAAAAAAGTCATTAGTAATTACTAATATTACTTATTGAGACATTTTAAATTGAAAATATTAATGTAATAATGTAACTCGAACAAAATTTTAGAATTGTCAAGTCATTTCATAATGTACATATTTTGCTACTTAAAAAGATGAAGTTAAAGTTGAATAGTATAAAACTTGTTTATAGAAAAATAATTGTATATTTTGTCTTGATTATTATTATAACAAATTCTTGTAAGCGTGTAAACATTTAATTTTTGATTAATAAGCAATAATGCAATATCCTTATCTCAGTCATTTCCTTCAATTAGTGAAATTGTTTTACTTTTTATCAAGGGTAGCTGCATTATTTAAAAAATTCTTCTATACATTCTACACAACTTAATAACTATTATTATTATCAGTCATAGGTTATATTCAATAAAAAAAATTTCATATTAATTTCAATATTTTTAACAATAATTTTATTGTAATTTTTAATATTTAAGCCTTTGTAATTTTAATTAAGGAAAAGAAAAAGTCTAGTACTACAAAATCTTTTTTTATAGTAATAATAATAATAATAAAGAATCGTTATCATATTATTTTTACTTGAGGGAGGAGAGGGGATATTATATCCATGACATACAGTCCATTGATAAATTTGTTTATAGAAGTTTTGTTACCGTAATTGTTTGTGATTAATTAATTTAAAATTTTATTAAATTTATTAAGTTATTAGTTAAATTTTCATTTAAACATTTAACTGTCAAATAATTTTATAGAAATCTATTTTTCATCGATTTACCACGAATGCAGACTATTACTATGTAATTATAAACAATATGTAACACAATAATTTATTCAAGTGATTGAATTTCTATCTCTTAGTAAGTTACCCTTTCTTCATTTAAATTATTCTTAGTTAATTTTATAATTTATTAAAGTTAAAAAATTACGCATATTTATTTATTATGCTCAACGTTTTCTCTAAAAGCTATTGATTGTGTCAGAGAGGACGGGAAAACCCGGTACCTACGTACTGAGGCTCGACGAGAAACCGACTGAGCTATTGATTCAAATTAATCTGAGCGATTTAGGAAAATTGGTTGTTGAAAGTAGAAAATTTCATTTTCTATTGACACAGTATATATGGTTATTTATTAGTACTAGATATCTACTACAATAATATTATTGATCGATGATTATTTTAAAAATAAAGAATTTATTGCCGGTTGTGTATTTAAAAATTATCTTAAATGTTTTTAAAATATTGTTCTAAGAGACAAAAAAGGTAAAAAGTTTTTTAAATTTCATTTTGTTGTTTCCTATAAATAAAATCAGAATATTGTTGTTTGATCTAACGAAATGAACCCAAATTAAAGGTTCAATTTTCGTACTTTATGTTGTATGAATTGTTTATTATCGTGTAGTTTAGTTGTTAAGTGCGTTTAAGTTATAAGCTAAAAGTAGCAATGGATGTACTATCAATGTTTTTCTTTAAGCTTATTTTGCAGTAAATTATGGGTTGAGTGTCATTATCACTCTTACTGCTTTAAGAACATCACAAGTTCCAAGTTTGGTTTTATAGTAAGACTGTTGGTTTAAAACAAACTGTCTAATAAAATAGAGGGTTGGGTTCTCTAACAAGATCAGTGATTTAGTATGCGTCATCGAAAACCGCTAAATAAAATTAGTATGTACCCTCAAAATTCGCCAATGACATGACAAGTTGGTTTACTTAAGTCCTTAAAGAAGACTAAATTATCGTCTATAGGTTTAAAATTCAGAAAGGAATGTCTTCTTGATTATTCAAAAAAATATATATATAAATACGAAATATTGTACTCTCCTTGTTATTTATTGCTATTGTAAATTTAAATAATTGACAATTGCTATTCCTGATAAATAAAGGAAATTAGTTATGCTAATAATTCACATAATAGCCTAATGAAATTATTTTTTTTTATCAATAAAATGAAAACAAATATGAGATGACAGGGGAATAGTAAAACAATAACGTTTAACATTATTTTATTTATATAAAAAAATTGTACTGCAATAAAGCTTAAATTTAGATTCTTGAAACAGTTTATTTATTTTAATCATCTCGTTATGAATTTTTTTTAAGCATTTTCGGTTTGATAATCTGGGCTCAACTATAATAACATTTTTTTGGGAGAAGGCTAAATATATTTCTCTATTCTATATAGGTTCTTTCAGTAAATCATAGTTAAACTATGTTTGTTAATTTAAACAGATTTAATATTATTGAATACTTAAAAGAAAAAAACTTAATTGTATCAGTGATACGTCTGTTAAATAAACTATCACAATAAACTTCATTGAATAAAGGATTGGAATGGTTATGGAGTATTATAAGAATAATTTTAAGAGCTGTTTGTAGCAATGTGTTGAAAAGTAACGACTTCAAAACAATTATTTGATTATTCTATTGCTTACCAATTTGATTTGATTCTTTACAACAGTAAAAATTCATTAGTTTCCATTGTTGGGTCAATGTTAGGGCGATCTTCCTTTTGTTTTGCTTCTATACAGCATGAAATCATTCACGGTTCAGTTACACATCCTTACCTATTATCGTCATCAAACACTTCATAGCATACAAACTCAGACGACGATATCCAAAGCTGAAAACTGTCACTGCCACTATACTATAAAACAGAACTTCTTTCTAAACAATATTGCACTGTCGTGTACAGTTCTTGTTTGTTATGTATATAATAATCATTAAATTATATATATATATATATATNTATATATATATATAAATAAATATTTTAATTCTAAGGTGACCAGTTGTTTTAGAAAATTTTGGACCTACATTCGATATGCGCAACGCATAAAGCAGTAACTAACTTTTTCTCACTTTTCAGGATATCAAAAATAAAAATTACACGCTATATATTTATCAATTTTCTTAGTAGTTTAATTCCGAATCAATCCAAATTGTCGATATTTTGATGAAGGTTATTATAAGAGTAAAACCTAAATTCTAATATAATGGATTTTTTTTGAGTTACTGCCTTATTTATTGAGCATAGCAATATATTTACAGGAGTGGAAGAGATTCAACTGACAACTCATAACTTTTGACCAAATAATCATTTTGTTACAATTTTCTTTTTCAATAAAATTTTTGTATTTTTATACTATGCTAAATGCAATAAATCTTAAAATTAATATCGATTTATTCATCGTATTTGAAAGAAATGTGATTAAAAAACTGGTTATTAATTACAGACAAATCATAAAACTTTACTGTTAACGTATTTTTAGAATGCAAAAATTGTTAAAAAAAACAACGAAATTATTCGATAAAAACTATAAGCGTTGTCAGTTAGATTTGTTTGGGCCTTTATATATATATATGTAGGTCTAGAATTTTCTATAACTTGTCGTCTTAGGATGAAAAAGTTTAAACACAAATTTTTATAATTTCCAGGAGAATGATTCTTAATTCAAAGATTTTTTTTGTAATCTTTTATTAAAAATCTTAGGGTGACCTATAATTTTAATTTTATTTAATTTTTCGTATTACTATAGTCTTTTTCTTCTTCCTTGCCTTAATCCCAACTACTTGGGGTCGGCCATCCTTATCCTAAACTTCCACTTGACACGATATCCCACATCCTCTACGCTCACATCAGCTGTCCTCATATCGTATTCAATAGTATTCCTCCATCTTTTTTTTGGTCTTCCTCTACCTCTTCTTCCTTCAACATTCATTTCCATAACTGTTCTTACAGCTTTCGATTCTTCTCTCCTCATAACATGACCAAACCATCTAAGTCTATTTTCTCTCATCTTATCTACTATTGACGCTACACTTATACTTCCTCTTATATGCTTGTTCCTTATCCTATCTTCTCTAGTCATTCCACTCATCCATCTAAGCATTCTCATCTCTGTTATACTCATTCTCTACTTTACTTTCTTATCAACCGCCCAACACTCTGAACCATACATCATAGGTGGCCTCACTAAAGTCTTGTAGAATTTATCTATCAACCTCATTGGAATTATTTTATTGCATATAACGCTAGACGCTTCTCTCCACTTACACCATCCGCACTTAATTCTGTGTCTTACATCCTCGTCAATACCACCACTTTTTTGCTCAACTGACCCTAAATACTTAAAACTTTTCACTTCTCCAATAACGTCCTCGCTTATTGTCATTGATCTCCTCATTTCAACCATCTGGTGTTTTCCTTTGTCAAACTCGTACTCTATATACTCTGTCTTACTTCTACTTATTCTTAAATCCTTTTCTTCAAGAGGTAATCTCTACACCTCTAGCCTTTGATTAATTTCCTCCCTATTTTTTCCTATTAACACTATATCGTCAGCAAACAACATGCACCACGGTACTTCTCTTTTTATTTCTCTAGTTAATTTATCCTTTACTATAGAGAATAAGTAAGTGCCTATAGCAGAACCTTGGTGCATTCCTACTCTTACCCGAAAACCTTCTGTTACTCCTCCTACGCTTTTTACCCTGGTACAAGTGTCATCATACATATCTTCTATTATATTAATGTACCTTTTTGGGACTCCTTTTTTCATCAATGCCCACTTTAAAACCTCTCTCGGCACTCTATCATACGCTTTCTCCAAATTTTATTTTAATATCATACACAGTTTTTTCTTCTTTTCCCTTAACTTTTCTATTAGTTGCCTCACACAAAATACTGGCTCCATTGTTGACTTACCAGGTATAAATCCAAACTGGTTTTTAGATACCGATGTCTCATTTTTTATTCTCTTATCTATTACCTTTTCTCAAATTTTCATACTATGACTCATAATCTTTATGCCTCTATAATTTCCACATTCCTGAGAATAAGAGGACACTATAGTATTACTATAGTAGCTTATAATCATAAAAACACTATAGAAACTTGATTCGACAAAAATGATTGGGACATGACATAATTAGGACAACTATAGATAATATTTGACAAAGATAAAAATCACTATCATAAAATACGTTAATCTGACAAAAATGTTTAATTTTTAGAAATAATTGTTGAATTTTTGCAAATTAAATCAACTTATATTTCCTTAATTATATACTGATTACAAGTTTATGATTTATAAGTATAATACATAAATATATATTCATGTATTGTATTGAAACTTTAACTAGCTAATAAAATAAAAACGATCTAATTAAAATATGACTGGTTAATAATAAATTTTGAAATAGTACTTCGGAATGATAAAAATAACATAACATATCTCATCTCCACTCTATAATTATGATCTTCGAAATAATGGATGAAAAGCTGTTTTCTTAATTAGATCATTTTTCACAAATATATTTGTAAACAAAAATAGTATTTTTTTAACTACGGCAACTATTTGCACATAGAAGATAAGTAGTCAGGACAAATTGTTTACACGCAGAGTGTATGTTAGCACTGAGTAATTTCCGAAACATTTTAAAAAGTTAAGTTTTTATGCAAAAGTCGTTATTTTGAATCTTTCATGTGGTTAGATTTTCAAAGAAAAATCCAACATAAAAGAAAATATTTAAAAATTGTAAAAAATCATTTTATTGTTGTATTGTAAGGCTGAAAAAAAGTGGCAACAAACAAATAGAAAAAAAGTTAAATTAATACTTTCTCAACCTTTATTAATACCTATTGAATAAGCTTTAAAATTGGATAATTTTTTTTAATCATATTTCTTTAATGTTTTTATATTTATAAGAATCTGCCATTGCAATTTGAAAAAAAATAAATAAAATGAAAATTCTGGACCATCTTGTAATAAATTGAGAAATGGTGGCGTTAATAAGTGTGGTAATCAGTTAGAGGAATTAAAGAGACAATACTGCCCAAAAAAGGGCGTAACTATCAAG